TAGATTTCAGTTACCTTGGCGTTGAGGTTAAAGTCATTCAAGAATTCATTGTCCTTATAAAAAAGGGTAGATAGATAAGATGATGCAGCTAATGATAAAAATTATGTAAACAGAATACAAACACTTTTAAATATAACTACTAACTAGGTTAAATTATAGATATCTAACTAAATCTAAAATATCCAGGAAATTTTATATAAATATAATATATAGTGCAGTTTTCGTATGACTGTGAAAAATTCACGGCACGAACACGGTCGTGACACGGCAAGGGATATGCTAGACCTATCACATTGCACGAGAAGTTACTCTCCATCCAATCAAATACCCGGAACACGGCAATCACATTGCGCGTGAAAAAATCAGACAATTAAAATTCTAGAAAGCATCGCGGTCACGGCACCTCACGCTTACGGCACTGAGCTTTTCACATACATATCATGACCGGTTTTATCACGCCATTAAAGTATGTTAGTCTGATATTGTTTAAGGTTCGGACTGATATGTTTGAGGAGCCCAATCCGTTTGGAAAGTTTCTTGCAGAGCTCGTCGATGTGATGCTCGTATGACAGGTTTGAGTCGAGCGTGACTCCATTATCTAACTTCTTTACAATCTTTACTAATTCCTGTTACTAGAAGGGACTTTGTCTTTTTCGTGTTGATAAGCATCATGTTGTTCTGAGCCCATTTTTGTACTGCGTCGAGGTCTTGGTTCAGACAATGAGTCAGAGATTGATGATCAGAGAAATGTGAACTAGCAATTTCCATCATTTTGGAAAGCATCCTTTGGTTATAGACAGGTTGAATAGTTTAGTAAGAGGCTTACTAAAACTAGGAGACACTAGTTTCAGGATTTTAACACTTATTGAATCATGTCCAGTTGCTTTAGAGCTATCCAGTTTATTTATCATCATGTCTTCTGTGTCTTTAACCGACATAAGAGAGATGTTATATTGAGAGATAAAGTTATTAAAGCGCTGGTTTATGTGCTCTTCAAGCTTTGAACTATCGAATCCTTTAGAGGAACTAGACATTAACAAAGTAATTATTCATTAAATTGGCCATTGCCATGGAATCCGTTTCGTAAGTGCCATCATCCCGTTTTAATTCGGATATTTAATTTTGTTTGGAATTTCTGTATTGGTTAGTGACTTGAGAGCTTTCCATATACCTTTGGAATTATATAATATACAATATATAATATATAAT